TTTCCTTTTTTTTTTTTTTTTTTTTTTTTTTTTTTTTTTTTTTTGCTAGGCAGAGAATTTCATTTCCTATCCACATGCACAGAGTGGCATAATGCTTGTTGCCTTTCCTTAATGTGAGATGAACTATGCCAATAGAAGGTCCTTCCTTCTACATGGATGAAGCTAGCCTAGGACTAGGAGATTTACTGTAATGCACTACCTCACCACAGTTAGTGGCACAAGTGTTGTGTATCAAGTCCCTTGAACTCAAACAGGAAGGTCTCAGCAATTCCAATTTTCTTAGGTTCTCATTGTTTCTTGCCTTGCTGTGAAGGTGAAAGGTGAAGGTGAAAAGATACAGGAAACCAGACTGCAATGCCAATTCAGGAAATCCACAGAAAGCTGGAATGGATAACCAGACTTCTTTACCTTATGAGATTTTTACCGCTTTACAAGTAATGATCATTCTTAATCATTCAATATCTATTTCTACTCCAAACTCTCTTTTAACATCAAGCATAATCGTTCAGTATGCATCTTGAAAATACCAGGAAAAATAATTTCATTGTCATTTAAATCAATTTCACTAAAACTTGTAAGGAATTCTAACAGATGATACAACATATTTGGGGCCAAATACTGCATTATTAACTTTTGTGTGGATCACAATCTTCCAAATGATAATTTCATCCAAAACTGCAGCAATTACTAAAAGAGGAATAAGAAAGTACTCTGTTTTATGTGCAATCCAAAATTGATTTCTGTATTTAACACTGGCACTGTCTCACTAAAGAAAGAGGCTGCAATTCCATGAGGAGCAACCTTAAAAGGCTGCAGACCAAACACCTCCACAACCTCAGCAGATCCCTAAGTTCCCAAAAGCATATTCAAAAAGTATTTCATTGTGTTAGCAAGCATAGCACATTTCACAAGCAGGGCAATCTGAAAGAATAGCCTAGTTCCCTAACCAACATGATCACATACTGGATTTTCAGTTGGGATCACAACCAGCCTTTCAACGTCCAAACAACATCTCAGTATGACCAACGGGGAAGAATTTGCAAGAAAGGACTGTTGATAGAGAAATTCTGGTGAAACGTGAAACTGACAGGATGAGGAGAAATGGCTTCAAGTTGCGCCAGGGTAAGTTTAGGTTGGATATCAGGAAAAACTTCTTTACAGAAAGGGTTATTAAGCACTGGAATAAGCTGCCCAGGGAGGTGGTTGAGTCACCATCCCTGAACATGCTTAAAAACCATTTGAATGTGGTGCTCAGGGACATGATTTTGCAGACGGTTGTTAGGGTAGTATGGTTAGGTTGTGGTTGGGCTTGATGATCTTTAAGGTCTATTTCCAACCTGAGCAATTCCATGATTCTGTGACAGCTGACACTTCAAGATGTTTGATACATATTTCCTCAGTATTCACCCAGGTTCCCACAACTGGAACGTGACCAGAACTTCACAGCACTATGAGCTAAGGCATATTCGCTAAACCTGCCACGAATTCCCCTACTCCTCGTTAATTATTTTCCCAAAGAAATAACAAGACAGATGGGAATGAGAGACCAGTTAGCAACACTGCAATAATGGCTGCTCCTCCT